ACTCTCCAAGCAGAAAGAAATTTAATAGATGGTCAGTGTACACAAGTAGATTCAACCCCTGTTTGCACAGTATTAATATCCACCTCAGGTGATCTTATGACAGAATTAAGACAAGTTATACCATCAGTGTTTAAATCACAGATGCACAATGTTCCATAATTTAACACTATATATGGTAACTTCCCTGACATTGAATACAATATACAGTTGAAGTCAAAATTATTAGCCCCCCTGTTTATTTTTTCCCCAATTTCTGTTTAACGGAGAGAAGATGTTTTCAACACATTTCTAAACATGACAGTACATAATATTTCACTAGATATTTTACAAGACATTTCCTTACAGCCCCAAAGTGACATTTAAAGGCTTAACTAGGTTAATTAGGTTATCTAGGCAGGTCATGGTAATTAGCAAAGTTATTGTATAACAATGGTGTGTTCTATGACTATCGAGAAAAAATATAGCTTAAAGGGGCTAACAATTTAGACCTTAAAATTGGTTTTAAAAAAATTAAAAACTGCTTTTACTTTAGCCGAAATAAAACAAATAAGACTTTCTCTAGAAGAAAAAATATTATCAGACATGCTGTGAAAATTTCCTTTCTCTGTTAATTTCCTTTCTCTGTTACTCTGTTACATCAATTGGGAAATATTTAAAATAAGTAGGGCTAATAATTCTGCCTTCAACTGTATGTAGTACTGTGCAAAATTCCTAAGTACTATACCAGCTTTGTTGGCCTAAGACTTTGACACAATATATAAACAATCAGTCTTTTTATAAAAAACAAACAGAAAATATAGGAAATATGTAAAAAAAAAAACACACACACACACAACAACAACAGCACATTTCCTCTTCAAGCAAAAAACTACATTTAATGGGACTTCCTTTGGCACAGCTTGAACTGTTTTGTTCTAATTGTCCTGACATTTTCTGAAATAAATCTGACGTGTAAAATCAGGCTTCTTTTAGCACTTTCCAGAACTTTTCTTTAGGTTTAGAATGTCTTATCTATGGGCGAGGCAGTGGCGCAGTAGGTATTGCTGTCGCCTCACAGCAAAAAGGTCGCTGGGTCGCTGCTTCGAACCTCAGCTCAGTTGGCGTTTCTGTGTGGAGTTTGCATGTTCTCCCTGCCTTCGCGTGGGTTTCTTCCGGGTGCTCCAGTTTCCCCCACAGTTCAAAGACATGCGGTACAATTGAATTGAGTAGGCTAAATTGTCTGTAGTGTATGAGTATGTGTGTGAATGTGTGTGGATATTTCCCAGAGATGGGTTGCGGCAGGAAGAAAAACTTGCTGGTTAAGATGATGGTTCATTCCGCTGTGGCGACCCCGGATTAATAAAGGGACTAAGCCGACAAGAAAATGAATGAATATTTATATTATTTGCTAATTAATAACCACCTCATGTGGAACTCTGAATCTGAGTCTCATTTTAGAGTCTGCTACTCTCCACCTGAGGTCACATTTCGGTCACAACCGCATATTTTGAGAGGCTTTCTGACTGAATTAATAAAATATGTTATCTTCCGCAAAGGCAACCCGGGTGCTGAAATATAATTGGCTAAAGTGGCATTGGGCAGGTTAAAGAGACCAAAACAAAGAAAGACGTTCTGGCTAAGAAAGTACATTTTCAAAGCAGAATAACTAACTTTAGCAATGTTTTTCAGATAAACAAATGTGTTCACTAAGCATGTTTCTTCAATATCTGCAAACATATTAGGGTATTTTATGCTTTAAAAGAGTCAAAAACTTATATAAAACAACTTTAATAATTTCTAGATATTTGGAATAAAAACAGGACAAAACCTCTATGTAAGAAAACCATTTGTTCTATTGCAGTGAGCCATTTCTTGCCATCTGGCTCAAGAAGGGTCTGGGCAGTGGGTGTTGAATCTGGCATGTGGAGAACTGGATCCAATGAGGCTGATCAGATTTGTGGTGGTGAAGCACAGGACCGCTTCCACTTCACAAATGGTGAAGGAGGATCCTCTCTATACACAGCTAAAATGTCCCATTTTGGGTAAGATTGCTTATTGAGACCTAACTGATGGAACCATAGAAGCTCTGGGTATTCCAGAACTATAAATATCCCATGTGTATTCCTTTAGGGCACAACTCTTTTTTTTTTTTTAAGATTTATTTTTGGCCTTTTTTATTAGATAGGACAGTATTTAGACAGGAAGCGAAGTTGGAGAGAGAGAGAGGGGGTAGGGTAGGGAAATGTCCTCGAGCCGGGATTCAAACATGGGACGCCCTGACGTGCTACTGCACCATATGTCGACGTGCTAACCACTAGGCTATTGCGCCGACAGGGGGCAACTCTTTTGTTCAAAGCACTGACAGACCTGGTCTAGGGTCATTTTACTGTCATGGATGATTGCAGGGGCGAAGGAGAATTAAAGTGGGATCTACAACTGAAATCTGAAAACGCACTTCCTGTTTGTTTTCAGTTAAAATGGTAATGGGCGTGGCTACCATAATTAACCACGCCCCTCCGACTGTCAGTTTAGACAACAAACAGAAATGATGTAATAACTCTCCTAAAAACCCAATTCCCGAGCTTTCTGAATGAAATGCCTGCTTTACTACATCCAATCAGCTCACAGAACAAAAAACAAGTCACACCCACTGTTTTCTCATTTAATATTCCATTTCTGTAGGAGCTGCATCACAATATTAAAGAAAAAAAAAACACTTGCAGCTTCCAGTTCATGTGGACTTTAAAGATTAATATTCATTCATTCATTCATTCATTTTCTTTTTGGCTCAGTCCCTTTATTAATCTGAGGTCACCACAGCGGAATGAACCACCAACTTACCCAGCATATACTTCACGCAGTGGATGCCCTTCCAGCTGCAAACCATCACTGGGAAACATCCATACACACTACGGACAATTTAGCCTACCCAATTCACCTGTACCCCATGTCTTTGGACTGTGGGGGAAACTGGAGCACCTGGAGGAAACCCACACGAACACAGAGAGAACATGCAAACTCCACACAGAAATGCCAACTGACCCATCTGAGGCTCGAACCAGCGACCTTCTTGCTATGAGGCCATTGTGCTACCCACTGCGCCCCCGTGACGCCCGAAAGATTAATATTGTAATGTTTACTGGGAGCTGTTGTTCAGTGGCAGAGGTAAATGACAGTTGCGTCATTTCGCCGTGACATTTTAAAGAGTCGGAAAGTAAATAAATGGCAGGCAAATATGGTACAGGTAAACACATCTACGTGAAAGAAAGTGTTTTCTGTCGTTTTAGTGTGGATGAAGAAAATAAATAAATAGAGCTTTTAAATAGAAATAGAGCTTTTGAAATAGAAAACGCCATTTTTAAATGTATCTGGATTAGTGTAGACGTAGATTGAATCATAATTAGGCCTACTATGCTAACGTAATGTAACACTCGCCGGCCACTTTATACAAATAAGGTACAATAAGGTACATCTGTCTAACTGCTTATTACCAGGGCTGGAGTGGGACTCCTTTTCAGCCCTGGAGTTTCAAGCCTCAGACCGGCCCACCTCAGTTCACGACTGACTATATTAAAATAAGGACATTTCCAATTCAGTTTCTAATTACACTATCACGTCTTTTTTTGAGAAAACAGCTGCTTTAGAACTTCAAATGTTCAACAACCCTAACAGTATTATGTCTAAAAAAAAATCTACTCAGACAAGGATCAGACCCGGGTCCGCAACGTCGCAACCTAACATGCTAACCACTGGACCACAACAGCTGTGCATTGAGAAGTGGCTCGTCTGAGTTATATCATCAATAACCTGCAGGCTGCAGCATCCTGCTCACCAGGCTGCGAGAAAATAGATAAAAAGAGCAGAGCTGCGGTAAAATAATGAATAAGAAGACTGTGGTCAATTAAAAAAAAATTATTTAAAAAGTGTGACTGCTGAGAGCAACAGATTCTGGAGCTAGGTATGACGGCCCTCGCGGCCAAAAAACGGACCGGCCCACCGGGAATTCTCCCGGTCCTCCCGATAAGCCAATCCGGGCCTGCTTATTACCGCACATTTCTAATCAGCCAATCACATGGCAGCAAATCAATGCATTTAGGCATGTAGACATGGCCAAGATGATCTGCTGTGGTTGTTGGTGCCAAAACAGGAAGAACAGGAAACTGAGGCTACAACTGGCACAGGCTCACCAAAATTGGACAAAGGAAGATTGGAAAAACGTTGCCTGGTCTGATGAGTCTCGATTTCTGCTGCAACATTCGTATGATGGGGACAGAATTTGGTGTCAACAACAATCCTCAATCCTGATCAATCCTGCCTTGTATCAACGGTTCAGGCTGGTGTTGGTGGTGTAATAGTGTGGGGTATATTATCTTGGCACACTTTTGGACATAATTCAGCATCGTGTCAACGCCACAGCCTACCTGAGTATTGTTGCTGACCATGTCCATCCCTTTATGACCACAGTGTACCCACCTTCTGATGGCTACTTCCAGCAGGATAACACATCATGTCATTAAGCATGAATCATCTCAGACTGGATTCGTGAACATGACAATGAGTTCACTACTCAAATGGCCTCCACAATCACCAGATCTCAATCCAATAGAGCATCTTTGGGATGTGGTGGAACGGGAGATTCGCATCATGGATGTGCAGCGGACAAATCTGCAGCAACTGCGTGATGCTATCATGTCAATATGGACCAAAATCTTTGAGGAATATTTCCAGTACCTTGTTGAGTCTATGCCACGTTAGCTTAAGGCAGTTCTGAAGCCTTCAACCTGGTACTAGTAAGGTGTACCTAATAAAGTGGCCGGCGAGTGTATTTTAATGCTGGTCATTATGGTGGTACGAAGAGAGTAGAGTATTTTCTGAGGCGGTACTTGGTGTAAAACGTTTGACAACATTGTGCTAGATTAAAATTCAAGCTTTTTCAAGGATTTCCAGCAGCCGTTTGAACCCTGAAAGTCAGTTGATTTCACGTTATCAGAGAGATATGCATACGGTGGTGATGTTCTTACCTGCTGTCCCAAAACCGTATTTTCTTGTCATAATGGCTGCTGATGATAAGGTACTCTGAACACACCACGTCGCTGCAGAAAGACAAAACCTCAATGGTCTGTATGCCTGTGAGTGGTGCAGAGAGAAGGATATGAGAACTAATCATCTGTTCTTAACATGTTGAGCAATTTATTCCAGACGGATGTGAAAAGTGCACTTTGTTATACTTAATGCATGAGAGATTTTTGATTTTGTGGCACATACACGCTGCTCGCTGGAGGTCCCATATCTTCACAGTTCTGTCTGCACTGCCCGTGACCACCTGCCTCTGACTGTATTTAAATCTGGCCGCGGTCACTTTACGAGAATGACCCGTCAACGTGACCTACAACCACAATAAACATTCCTAATAATGAAGGTTTAACAGAATTAAAAATATGTCTCAGTCCATTTTGAAAGCAAATGCATGGGAAAGAAGGATACACTTTTAAAAAGAAATCTTGCGGCCTTTAATTATTTAGTTGAATCTAAAGTTAAAATGAACTTATCTAGTCATCTGAACTTGCATCAATCAAACAGACTAAAAATATGGTTGAAACCTAATTAACTTAGTAGGTAATTAACTTAAATTAAGTTAAAGCAACATAAAAATATTTGTCTTGACTTTTTGTCATCTTTTTCTCATTTTATTTTCATGCATAATTTGTTCTCATTACTAAATAGAGGATGTGTAACAAGGACACCTTAAAATAAAGTGTTGCCAGAAATCATATTTTGCATAAAGAAATTTAGGAAATGGACAAAAGTGTTTTGAATTGGTTAATAGTTAAAAAGAGTTTATTTAACTTAATATACAATAAATGATCAGTAAATGAATAAGTGTGGCCAATTCTTTTCAGGATTACAAAAGGTCATTTTGTAACATCATAAATGCTGTCAATTTCAACCCGGGCTCATTGTGGAAATGTAGTCCCGCGGACGTTTCTGGAGCCCGCGGAATACGTCCAGGCGGGTACGTACGGCTGCAGTTTTTGTTTTCGCGAATCCACGAGAGGCCGCTGTTGCGCGCTTTTTCGCACATCAGGCGCCTCTCGCGAGTGCGGTTCGCGCCCGCGCTGTTCTCGCGTGAACCCACCGGAGGCCACTGACCGGAGGATTGACTGCGCGACCGGCCCATCGGCCGACTCGCCCTCCTCCGTCCCTGAAACCAACCAATTTTACTGATCGACCTGCCCACCCGCTCGCTTCCCTAAACCCGAGCAACAGTTCACAAAAGCCGTCCAAAAAATTAAAAGCCCTAATTTTTTTTATTCCACCGCGTTTTCGGATTTCGCCGCGTTCTCACCCTGTCACGAAACTCGTTCACTTAATTTTTGGGATTCTGTTTTTGTCTTACCTGATTGCTGGAACTGCTCTTCACCGGACACCGTGGTCGACCCCTCTCTGCATCTCGAGCCTGCCGACGTACACGCTGAGCTGAGTGGACAAACGGGTTGCAGCAGGGAAGCCCTCCACAAGGAGGTAAGGCAAGCGCGAAAGGGAACAGCGTCACACCGCCCGCAGCGATCACTTGAAAAAAATAATCGTGGCCGTACGTACCCCCCGGGACGTAATCCGCTGTCTCCAGAAACGTCCGCGGGACTACGTTTTCAGAATGAGCTTGGGTTGGTCAATTTTGATCAATTGAATTCACCTTTGCCTAATATAAGTATTACTATTAATATTCAGTGCATCCCTAGAGTATTCATAGCGCTTCACTTTTTGCACATTTATTTATGTTACAGCTTTATTTCAAATTTGTTTAAATTCATTTATTTGCTCAAAATTCTCCACACAAAACCCCATAATGAGATTGTGAAAAAAGAGTTTTTGAAAGTGTTGCAAATTTATTAAAAATTAAAAAGCTGAAAAATCCCATGTGCATCAGTATTCACAGCCATTGCCGTGAAGCTCTAATTTGAGCTCAGGTACATTCTGTTTCCACTGATCATTCTTGAAATGTTTCAGCAGCTTAATTAAAGTTCACCTGTGGTAAATTCAGTTGATTGGACATGATTTGAAAAGGCGTACACCTGTCTATATAAGGTCCCGATGTTGACAGTGCATGTCAAAGCACAAAGCAAGCATGAAGACAAAGGAATTGTCTGTAGACCTCAGAGACAGGATTTACTTGAGGTACAAGGCTGGGGAAGGTTTCATAAAAATTACTGCTGCTCTGAAAGTTCCAATGAGCACAGTGGCCTCCATCATCCGTAAGTGGAAGATGTTTGAAGCCACCAGGCTCCTTCTAGAGCTGGCTGGCCATCTAAGCGGAGTGATCGGGGGAGAAGGGCCTTAGTCAATGAGGTGATCAATAACCCAATGGTCACGCTGTCTAAACTCCAACGTTCTTCTGTGAAGAGAGGAGATTCTTACAAAAGAACAATCATCTGTGCAGCAATCCACCAATCAGGCCTGTATAGTAGAGTGGCCAGACGGAAGCCATTCCCCGCCTGGAATCTGCCAAAAGTCATCTGAAGGACTCTCAGATCATACGAATCTAAAATATAAGTCTGATGAGACTAAAATTGAACGCTTTGGAGTGAATGCCAGGCGTTATGTTTGGAGAAAACCAGGCACCGCTCATCACCAGGCTACTAATATCCCTACAGTGAAGCATGGTGGTGGCAGCATCATGCTGTGGGGATGTTTTTCAGCAGCAGGAACTGGAAGACTAGTCAGGATAGAGGGAAAGATGAATGCAGCAATGTACAGACACATCCTGAATGAAAACCTGCTTCAGAGTTCTCTTGACCTCAGACTGGAGCGACGGTTCATCTTCTAGCATGACAATGATACAAAGCACACAGTCAAAATATCAATGGAGTGGCTTTACAACTCGGTGAGTGTCCTTGAGTGGCCCAGCCAGAGCCCAGACCTAAATCCAATTGAACATCTCTGGAGAGATCTGAAAATGGCTGTACACCATCGCTTTCCATCCAACCTGATAGAGCTTGAGAGGTACTGCAAAGAGAAATGGGTAAAAATTCCCAAAGACAGGTGTGCCAACCTTGTGACATCATATTCAAAAAGACTTGAGGCTGTAATTGCTGCCATAGGTGAATCAACAAGTATTGAGCAAAGGCTGTGAATACTGATGTACATGTGATTTTTCAGGGGTTTTATTTTTAATAAATTTGCAACAATTGTCATTATGAGACAATACATTGTCATTATGAGATATTGTGTGTAGAATTTTGAGGAAACAAAGGAATTTAATCCATTTTGGAGTAATGCTGTAACATAAAAAATGTGGAAAAAGTGAAGCATACATTATAATTGAATAACACAATACATTCAAAATATTCTGTATTCTGTGACAATTGTGTCTTTAAAATTGTGTCATTAAAATCTTCTCTAAAGAAATTCATTGTGATTAATTCTTTTTGAGGGTAACAATTCGTCACCCTGGAATTAATGGTTGTATCTGCGTTCTGAATGATTTTGAGATATTGAGCTTTAAAGTTTTTGCATTCCAAAGCAAACATTGTGTGTGCAACATTTGCTTTTTAAATAAAAATTCTTAAAATGTAATAAAACTTATTAAAAAAAACATCCAATAATGCAAACAAGTTGTCATTTAATAAGAATGTCAATAACTAATTTTTGACAAAAATGTCAGATAGAACCTTGTATTTCTAAGCTGACGAATTGTGTATTTTAGTAATAATAATAATAAAAACAACAAGAAAAAAGCAGCATGCTGTTTCTATTACTTTAGACATGATTTTGTTTTTGTGATTACAATTTTGTATTTATTTGCTTTGGAAGGTCACAGTTGTCAACAAAAATTACATCATTTAAAAAAGAAATATTGCTGACCCACTTTTTCCTCTTCCGCTTCTTTATGATGCCTTTTTATTGACCTCCCTTCTCAGTCGTGACAGTATTTTCAGACCGTTTTATAAGTTTTATATGCCATATGTGTCATCCCAGTTATGCAGCACCCTCCGAACTCTGTACCTAATAAAACTGACTATTTAAAGTGGTATTTCTGTAAAAGCATATATTAAAACGGCTAACATTTTACAATAAGGCCGTATTGGTTAATACATTCACTAACATAAACAAACAGCGAACAATACATTTATTACAGTATTGATTCATCTTAGCTAACATTAGTTCATGTAAATAACAGCTGAACAATGTTAGCTCATGTTAATGCATTAGTTGAACTACAATTAATAAAAGCCGTATAAATGTTCATCATTAGTTCTTGATTGTAAATACATTAACTAATTAGCATCATATTAAAGTCCCATATCTAATTTGTTTGCATGAGAAATCACGTGACAAAAAAATCCCACAAAAAAAAACCTCCCTTATGCCACACTGTCCTGTGAAACACGATGTAATCTAAGCAGGCGCAGCGATGCACATCAGTAACTTGGTTCATACTGCTCCGTCTGATCAGATGATGCTCTAGAGTAATTCACAGAGACAGGTTTGGGCGGGTGAGAGGTAAAGCGCTGTTACCTTGGGAACGCTGTCCTCTAGCCTCCAAAATAAAGCCGACTTGTCATATGACGCAGCTAAAATCCGCGTTCCCTGATGGAAAAGCACAGTGACAAGTCCCATAATGCATTAGAGCAGCAGGCAAAGCACAATCAACTCAACAGCCTTGCAGTAACAGTCTCCTTATATTACTACTGGAGATCAGTGGCTGAGGGCTCTTGTGGATCTAAGAGCTCATTGGTTGAGCGCTAATTAACAATGACTAAGTAAAGATGCTCTTCAGATCAAGCTAGGGTTCAAACAAGGGTCCGGACACACACAGGAAGACACTTTGTGGATCATTTTAATTTGATCGTTTGAGTTTTTGTGGACAATTTGAAAGAAAAAATATAAGAGTTAACTTTATTTCATGAAATTTTTATTGTAGCTATGAAGTTTTTTCATATCTATGCAACATTCAGCACATGATTAATGGGAATATGTGCCCAGGGCTATTAGAGCTGTGAACCTACACTAGTCTCACGGTTCGGTTCGGTTACGATTATCATGCCATCGATTCGGTTCAATTCGATATTTCGGTGCATCACTGTGCATTGACGGTGCTTTTCATACACAGTTTTATAGTTTCTTCACAGCAGCAGTTCTTGTATTTAAAATGTATGAATATATTTATACTTATATATTATTTGTAATACAATTTTGTCATTTAATACAGTCAGATATAAAACCTGTAACTTTAAGCATTAAGCAAATAAAATAAACTAACATAAATATCCAGTTCACTTTCTGATCCTTGTCTAGTTCTCTTACACCCCTTTAATTGGTCACACCCTCAACAAAAACGGTTGTGATTGGCTCTTGCGCGCTGCGCTCTTCACAGATGAGTGACACTGATAAGCGGCAGGCGGCAGGCGGCAGCGGCGATCTCACAGCTGATGCATGATAGACACGGAGAAAACTCTGCAGACACGCGCTTGTTTCTTTATCCACAAGTAACGCTGTAAAACAGCCGAGAGGAGAAGAAAAGCCACGCCAGCAGGTCAAATGGGCCACTGTGTGTGTGTGTGTGTGTGTGTAAGTGTGTGTGTGAGAGAGAGAGAGAGAGAGAGAGAGAGAAATTAAGTACTTTCATTCTCTCGATTTCAGTGAAATAGGGGCTTTTGTTGTATATGTCAGTGAAAGACTGATCCAGCAAACTAAGGCTGTTTCTCCATATGCGTTCTTCAGCGGTCTTGCGTCCTCGTGTTCTCGTGAAACATCATCATCAACTGCCTAAGTTCAGTTCCAATACTCAAGACCGCAAGTAAGGAGGACGCGTGAAACTTCCCGGATGTGATCTTGATATCGAGGACGCACCGATGCAGACTTGAGCACCGAACTCGCTCTGGAAGTCCCAGAAGTCATTGCGACGGGAGGTGGGAAGCGCAGCATTTAATTTAGATTTATTATTAAAGTTCAGAGATTTAATTTATTTACCTCAGGAGTTTCCCTAAATGAAACGGTGAAAGTAAACATTAACATGAATATCTTAATAAAGGAATAAACACATTAAGGGTTGTTTGTTTGCTGAAATTCGTATTAAAATTTGTTTTATTTATATTGTGAAGAGTATATTTATAATGTTTTTATGCAAAGTATATATTCGGAAGAGAAGGGAAAACAATACGTCGTTGTATATGAGTGCTGTAATGTTTAAATGATTTCCATTTAAAACGCGTGAAGGTCACGTGACCATCAGGAAGAACGCAGCATCCCATTTCTCAAAGGACGCATTCTCTGTCCTCGCCGTCTCCCAAGTTCGTTCTTCCGAGGACACCTGGCAAGACCGCTCTCCACAAGAACGCAAGTCCGTTCTCTGCATTCTTGGAATTGAGAAACAGCCACACACAGTGAAATTGTGCACAGTTTATGAGTTAGGTAGTTCGAGCATTGTAAATACTCGCGCTCGCCTCCCTTGCGACAGAGCATATGAGGTAAATGACGTCAGTAATAACCGGTTATGATTATTACTGAACCGATACCGAATTGTCCGCACCTGCATGGCGGTGCACCGAAGAAACGATTCATTTTGACACCCCTAAGGGCTATATATATGGGAAACCATATGTCTGGGTGCATTTTGCAACACAGGCTCATTATGAAAACGTAGTCCCGTCGACGTTTCCGGAGACCGCAAATTATGTAGCCGGAGGTACCTATGGTCGCATTTCATTTTTTAAGCGAACCAGACTATATTCAGATGTAGCCCTGGACACGTATCTCCAATGAGTCTGGGTTGGCGAATTTGTTTTTTTTTTTACTCACTCTGGTCTAAATGAGTACTACGCTATGAAAATTCTTTATCACGCCTCCTGTCCAAATGTTTAATTAAATGACTAACTAAATGCAGTTAAAGTGATAGTTTTTATTGTTGAACACAAAAGAAGTTATGAAAATTTATTATGAAAGAGCACTTTTAAATGTTATTGTAAGGAAAATAATAACACCATTATGATAAACACAGTTAAAATTACCTTCCTGAATAAAACGTTTTATTGAGATTGTTGCAATACATGAACAAAAGAAAATGAAGAATTTTAAAAAAAGGGTTCCACTTTACATTAAGTGTCCTTAACTACAATGTACTTACATCAAAAAATAAATACAATGTACTTACTGTGCTTATAATGTATTTGAGAACACTTGTGGTGCTTTTGAGTTGGGATAGAGGTTGGGTTATGGACAGGTTTGGTGGCATGGGTAGGTTTAAGGGTAGGTTAAGGTGTAAGGGATGGTCAACAGTGTATTTACAAATGTAATTACAAAAGTTAATTACAGATGTAATTACATACATGTATTTAATCAAGCATAAGTACACTGTAAATACATGTATTTACACAATAAGTACATTGAAACAAACTATTAATTCCTGTGTAAGTACATATTAGTTAAGGCCACAATAGTGGGACCAAAATAAGATTTAAGACCTACAACACAATATTTCAGTAATTTTAAGAATTTTTAAGGGCAAAATTTTTGATGTTGGG